GGGCTCCTGCCCCGCACGCGGCTCCCTCCTCACCGACGCTGGTTCAGCCCGGCCAGGTTCTTTATCTGTTGGATACGTGGAGAACGGGAAGGAAATTAAAAGGTTGAGCGTTATTAATGGCTCTTGCAAAAGTGCTGTGCAGCTCTTTTGTCCCAGGCAGCTGTGAATCTTTAACACTCAAGGGAAGGGGTCCGCCACCCCCGACGAAAGCAACTCCCACATGATACCGCGCGCCCCTTTCACAGCTGAGCTCTGAACTCAGCCCAGCCCCCCAGCCTGCAAGGATGAGCAGCACTTTTCAATCTGCAAGGTGGAAAGTTGTGCCTCTGGGTACCTGGGCCACGCTCTCCAGCCAGTAAGGCACACGCGTTGCCTTTCGCTCTACTGGGGCCTCTGTTGCTTTCAATACCATCGTGTAGCACATCTTATATTTCAGAGGATGCAGCTGAAGTGATGTTAAGAGTGGCTGTATTTGCTTGTGAGTTTCAAAGTTAAGACAGGATGATAAAAGGTGGGATTTATGCTCAAAAGAGGGTTAATGAAAACAGGTTGGAGAAACATTGCTCTAGCTCCACTCAGGGGAACAGCCCTAAGTATCCCTGAGCGCTATGAGAGCCCTCTCTTACTTTCAAGGCTAGTGGGCGTCAGCTTGTTTTGATCTGTGTGACTGCACTGACAGTAACCTTGTCTATCTGTTTCGAATGAACTTGGAGAGCTCAGTACACCTGCCCAGTGGTTGCAGCTTTGGACTTGGGAGACCTATACTGGTTCCTCCTCAGAGTTAACACACTGATACTTTTGCACTACCAGCTGGCTGCTACCTGTTTCCCTTCGGAAGAATGCTCAGAAAGACTAAACCTCCAACAATGTGACACCAACTGCACAGATGCAATTCATAGTAGAGCATCTTATTGACGTACGGTGAATACTAACAAGTTGCATCTAAATTTCTTTGGTAGAGGATCCTGTAGCGCTTTTGGCAAGTATCGGGAGAAACACTATGGGTGTGAATGCAGAGAGAAGCTGAGAAGCACTAAGAACGTGAAGGGATTCCACCATAGCTGCAGGTGGAAGGAGGTGGGAGAGATCCTTGAGAACTGCATCATACAGTAGAAGTGATTTCTAATTTATGTTTCAGGATCTTTCCTGTATTTGTAAGCACAAAGAAAACCTATTACTGGCAAAAAGGAAATAACTTTGCTGCTATACACAATGGGAAGCGTCCAAATAAATCATCACAGTGGGCCTTGAAGCTCTTTAAAAATCATTCTTAAGTACACAAGGGATTACTTCATGTCCTACAGAAAAATACAGCTACCTTTGCATGGGAACACAGCAGCCTGGGATGCTACCAAGAATGGAATGAATTCTTGGAAGGATATTGCAACCAGCTGAAACCACGAAAGCAACTTCTAGAGGCAGGTCACAATCATGATTGTCTGCCAGGTAGCATTTTGGCCAAAAACACTGGCAGACACCCTAACACGGACAATGAGCTCCCCAGAGGCGGCAGGAGCTTCCATTTGCATTTCAGGCAAGCAGTGCCAACCCAAGCAGTCTTTTCGCAGAATGCAGATTGAGGAAGTAATCCTGCTGTGGCTTAGGGAAAAGCGTCACCTCTTGTGTAGCCACAGGCACACAGATCTCCTGTCAAGATCTCCAATGCAGTGACTGGCAGAGGAAGAGATTGCGCTACAAGACATGGAGAACAGTTGTGTATCTTTATTCTGATCTCCTGTCTCTCGTCCCAATCACTCATCCTGCAGCTGCAGCTTTATTTTTGCGCTGTATTACAAGTGCTTTCACCACAGAATAGCAAACTGATTCCCAACTACACAGAGAGTCATCCTTACACGCAGTGAAGTTACAAAAGAGAAATCTCTTTCTTGCTGTCCTCTAGATTTGGGAGGAAGAACATGCTGACATTAAGCGTGGAAGGGAACAGAAACAATTTTGCCCTTAAAGCCTTGCTGGTTTCAGCATTACTTACAGTAACTGCAGCTCCCATCAATCCCTGGACAAGAGCTTCTCCGGTTGACTGTACCTAGGAGACATGAGGGGAACATGACCTCTAGCCTTCTTCTGCAGTTACACCAAATACAAAGATGTAACAAACATAGATTTGCTACAGCAATGTGCTGATAAAAGCCAAGCACTGCACATTAATAATAGCCAGAGATAAGAAACAAAAAAGGGATTTCCTGGGAACATACATGTCTCCTACTTAAAGGGGCCAGTATGATATAGACCGGTGCCTACATGTCATGTTATTAGACAATACATAAGCATTTATTGGTGCTGAACTGACAGCATTTATGCAATCCCCTGCAAGTATGCAGGTACAAGGTGGTTTCCAAGCAGGCATGTGATGCATGATCGAAAAGCCAGGTCTGTCTGCACATATATTATGGGAGAGGGGAAGAATGCACGTAGACCTTGCCAGTAACATTACCTGCTTAGCTGTATTGCCCATGTTCATAGCATCAGCTACCCTGTTCTCCAGGAAGCGCCAAGTCTCTTCAAAGTCAGGGGATGAGTCCTGCATCATCACCAGTTCTGTGGTGTTGTAGATGCCAGTGAGCACAGCCCGACGAGTGTACCAGTTAAACTGCAAGGGCATGAATTGAGAGAGAGAGAATTGACCTGGATCCTGTAAGGATGCAGTCCACAAAAGCAGACCTGAGAACAACAAAGTAAAAAAGGATAACACCTCTGTCATTAGCAACTGGGCAGCCCTGGCTGAAAGAAACTGCTTAGCGAACAGAGCCCTCGGACTGCACATCCATTCCTGACTTTAACTGTGTAACTTGTCTCTATGATGCAGTGGGCCACCATCCAACAGTGACATCTGACAGCACAGCTGCTCCTGTGGCACCAGACAGAGGTCACAAGTACTTGTAGAAAACTGCTGAACAAAATAGTGAAAATCACCACCACCTGCTTCTGATCGCAAGCAGGCCCCTGCAGCATACAGAAAGGAATTCTCCCTTGCCCAGCTACTAGCTGTGTTGAGCAAGAGCTCATCTTTGCCTTAAAAGACTCTTATCAGGAAATACAAAGTTACAATTCTAGATCTAATCTAGTAGGAAAAAAATCTATATTTAATATTGAACTTCAGTTGTAGTTTGCACCAAATACAAGCACGTAGAAAGGGAATAAACAGATGACAGAACTGAACAAGACATCACAGAGAGATACACCTTTCCCAAATCCTGTCATTGAAATACCAGTATTGCCTGCTGAGCCTCTAAATGCATCGGTATACTGCTGACAGCAATGCTGTAAGATGCATTACAACAATAGGTTACAGCAATGCAAAGATGCACAAAGAGCCCAGAAACTCTCTTCAGTTTTTCCAGCTGCACTTGAATCACTGGCAGACAAAAAAATATACATTTTTAGAAAAATGGGTCTTCAACTTAATTTGCTGCTATTAAGGTGGTTAAACAATTCAGGTACCTTTTAAAAATACTGGCTGTTCCATTCATGACTAAAAAGCGCTGGACAAATGAAAACACTGGTCTGGATTTTGAAAACAACTGTTTGATTGAAAGCTCTACTCTTTGCACCACGACCTGCAAACTTTGTTCCCTCATGTTGCCATCCGCAGCTGGATCTCTCTGAGAGACACGGAGACTGAATTCTTTGTGCTGATTCTCCTCCTGCTCTGAAAAGCACATGAAGGGGTCCCTGAGGCAAGGGTATATACTCTACACAGCTCCTGGCTTTCTGAAGAGGGCTCTACTGCAAGTGACATTAAACTCTTTTACTGGGAAAAGGGGGAGTGTGATCAGTATTGCAGCTCACCAAGAAAACTCCTGCATATCAATCAGAAGGTATAAATAAAAGATTAGAAAAAAAAAAAGCTTAAGAACCTCTTCTGTTGCTTGAGTCAGTGAGGGGACTTCAGGAACAGCTCAGTGCAGGCACTGACTCTGATGTGTCACTGTGACTTTCATAACCCATATGGGACTTGCAGTTCCTGATGCAATCACAACCTTTCAGTTCTTTTCTGGTTTATTCCTTTAATTTTTCCCTCATCTTATTTATTTTTCACTGCAGTAGCTTCTCTTTTATGCTTACATAAAAGAAGTTTATTAAAGTAGTTTGTTAAAATAGTTCCTTTAGTTTTTCCCATCTCTCCCTACATCTCTAGGAATTAAAATAATTTATTAATTGCTTTAATTAAGGTTATAATTTTCTTTTATTTCCTGCCAGAAAGATGAAAGCTTTAATAAGCTATTGGTATTTTTAGGTAGATTCTCTAAAGCTTTTCAAGTAAAATCAGGGAATACTATTGCTGGTGGAAAAGACAGCTGCTTCAATAGAGATATATTTCTTGCTAATTGAATATTGGATCAACTTTTAGTCACTAGTTCAAAATTTCAGCAATTTTGTCTGGGTTCTAAAAAAAAAAAATGCTTACAAATAAATCTAGGAAAGTAGGTCCCTTTGATTTGCCTAAAAAGTGAGTCTCATTGGCTCCTAAGTCTCTTTGGAAATTAGAATATAGCTTCTGAAGCCCCTTAGGTGCTTCAGAAAATGTCTTCCCCATTCAACAAACGGATTGTTGCAAGAGAGACACAGGTCAATGCCTATTGCAATCCTTCATTTTGCTGAAGCGCAGAGCCCTAACCAGCCTATCACAAAGACTTACATCCGTGGACTGGTCTCCAGCGTAGTGCCATATATCATCAATCATGCTGGTGAGGAGGTTGAGGCTGGAAGGGATGTTATGTGGGAGCAGCAGGATGCTCAGAGCCTGAGAAGGACATACACAGATAAACGGAAGAGTCAAAGAGAGAAGGACATAGCATCAAACAAATCAACATTTCTTTGCTCTGGTATCTTTTCCCTTTTTTGGCAAGTCCTCCAAGCTCCATCCAACTGGCACTGGTCTTTCCGAGAAGTGAGACTTGTGAGGAATGTACAGTGTGGCAGCTGAGCTCACAGCTTGGCATGTACTGGAGCCCGAGTTCTCTGCTCAGCTTTGATGCCAGTGTTTTGGCTCTCCTGAGCTGCCTCTCCAGGCATGGAAACTCAGTACAGGCTGAGCTGACTCACACTTGTGCTGTGTCCCTACAGGCAGGGCGTCAAATCCCTTGGTTCTCTGAATTCGAATGTGGACTCAAACCCAGCTACCAAGGGCAGAATAAACGTAGCCATGATGGCCCTACTGAGATCTTGTAGCCTCTCAAGAATGTAGTAACATATAAGCCAGGAAGAGTCACAAACCAACCACATCCTTGACAAGACAAGTTATGCTAGCAAAGACCTGAATCCAGTCTTCTCTCTGCCCAGGGAGTGCTGGATTCAGTGGTCCAGAGACCAGCAAGGGTTAAATTGGCCAACAAAGGTTAACTTTGTAGCAACCTCTTTGCCCAATGGAAACTCTTTATTTTTCACTATGGCACAATCCCCTTCTGACCCTGGGAAGAATGGCTTGAGAGTTAAATCCGAATTTTGGAGCAAAAACACCTCTCAGTTTATAGAGCTACCCTCCTCAGATTGTCAAGCGTTCCTCATTCACACGCTAGGCAGGGCAGTTTCTTGCAACAAAGCAGTAGTTCTGCCTTTCCAAGTTTCAGGTGATGCCAGCGCAGCTGCAACAGTGCTGCAAGGAGCCTAACTTGCAGGGACGCTGCAAGTACAACTCAGCGGAGACACAGCTTATCCCCTGGGGATCCCAGATGGGTGGAGTGAACAACGGAGAGGATTGCCTTTCTGGAATTGCAAGAAATAGTGTTGTTCTAAAGACACCTTTAATTGCCTCCTTCCAAGGGTGCTCTCCTCTTGAAAGCTACAAATCCTTTGAAACACCTGTTGAGGATTTCATTTACAGCCTTGAACTAGTCTGGTGGAGAGACTGTGTTAAAGGCCACAGGATGTTTGAAATGCGTACAAGAAAAACAATCCTTATATTCATTTTATACCTGGGGCCACTTCTCAATATACGGAATCAGCATCCTTAGTCTGGCTTCCACAGCATCTCTCAGGAATTGATCTGTAGTCTTCTTTCTGGAAGAGGAAAAAATACAAATATGAAGAACATCTAGGTTAAACTTAAATCTGAACTTGAAAAAAAAATAATAACCCAACAACCTCTGTCCCTCTGTCCTGCATCAGCAAAAGAGGTACAAACTTACGTGTCCTTCCTACCTCTGGGCCAACTCTGTCAGAGAAGGTGGGCTTATTTGGATAAGTTACACTTTTACTGAAAGTATCTGTCTAGGATAACCCCTCTGTCTATCCAATACCTAACGCTTGCGTGCCAAGGAAGGCATGTTTTTATGCCCAGTACTCACTCTGTTTCGCCCAGCTGCACTAGTTTTTGTTCCTGCTCCAGCAGCTCGGAGAGCTTGGTGTTGCACTGAGACACAAAGTGCAGGATCAGTTCACTGCCATCATTGTGAAACATCCCTGCTGCAGCAACAGAGAGACCCAGGGTCTGCAGGGAAGAAGAGAGAAGGATAGACCAGGTCATACATTACTAAGCAGGATCCTGCTAGGAAAAATTTTGTATTTATTTTGTATATGATTTCATGTGATTTTAAATAAAACAATACCGCATCAAGAAGCTCTTCCTGTACGTCTATTCCTCTCTTTAGGATCACTACTGTATGTTGTGCCTTAGTTTAACTTTGACAGTGCTATCTGGTAGTAGCTGGGATTTGTTTCTGCCCAGTATCATTTGCTGGCAATAACCACCCTGACTAGGGTGCGTTGCCCAAGAGTATGTGGGGGAAGCATGCAGGCCTAGTTGTCTTTGAACTTCAGCTCCATCCAGTTTTCAACTGGTTCTTTGCTTCTCTCCCCACATACCTTGGCTCCCTCTGCAATGGCTTCTGCAGTCCAGCCATGTTCAGGCACAAACTCCAGCGCTGCTGTGAGGATTCGATGCTGCAGCTGCTCCTCGCTCTCATAGTCCTCAGACTCCTGGCCGCCCTGGCCAGTGTAACTATGAGAAGGTATTGTTACAGTGAGGGGAACGTCACTATCAAACATCAGCAACCTGGACTCTAGCGTTCATTCACTGCCACCACTGTGTGCAGACACACCTCAAGATCTGCTCATTTAGTACAAAATCCCACCTCTTCCTCTAAAATCCTTGCCATTCTGGAAAAAGGATTCTTAATCAACCTTTGTCATGAGGGAAAAGAGAGAAATAAGGGAGGTCTCAATCGAGATGGTTATCTGGAGACTGATCAGGCTCAGATATGACCCTCCTTTAAAACAAACAAACAAACAAACTAACTAACTAACTCTACACTAACTACAAGCGTTTCCAACAGAGGCTTTATGTTTATGGACAACGTAACTGTAAATTTACAGAAAAAAAAATCAGAAGCGAAGGCTTGTGCTTTGCAGACTACAGAGGTTCCTTCTTGAAAGCAAGTTCGATCTTCACTCTGCGACGGCCAGCGGAATTTGCACTGTCAGAGCAAATCAGATCTCCAGCTGCTGAAGTCTGACGCTCCGGGATAACTCTAGATCTCGCTGTCTTTGAGCAGATGCGAGTTTCAGCATAGCAAGGCCTTCCAATCCCACAGTCAACAGGACAGCACTAGAAATAGCTAGGTAAATTACCTGGGGCGAGGGCCCTGATGTTCCTGTTCAGGCTGGCGATCTGAAGGATGTGAATCAAACTGCTGCTGAGAGGAAGATGCTGATGGCTCCTTCTTGTGCTCATCTGAGGCTCTCCTCAGCGCAGCTGAGGCATGGAAGGCACGCTGGGGTGGGTAGAGCTGACACCTGACCACTGAAATGGAAACCAAGAGAGTCAGCTGTCTCCTTCAAACAAGAGAAAGGCACGGGAACATAACGTGAAGAGAACTGTGGCAAACACTGCTGAAAGACCCAGCAAATTGTGGAGGGAGACAGTATTTTTCTACTTCAGAGAAAAACCCCTCTCAGCTGAGGATTACATTTACTTGATGAAAATAAAGGGAAAATATTTTGTGAGAAAGAGCACGCTGCAGATAGCACTTATTCCACAGAAAGGAGTTTCATAATCTTGCACCGGAAACCAGGCAAACAAACATTCGTCGGAGTCCTGCACAGCATGCCTTCTCTCCTTTTTGGTCCACAGTGCAAGAGATGAGTTAGAGGGAGGTGTTGACCACTGAGCATGGGACAAGGCATAAGTCCCAACACTCAGAAGAGACAGCAATCTTAACAGATACAACATGCTGATCACTGGGTTTATTTCTAAGATGACTCAAAGACAACGCATCTTTCAATTATAGTTATTCTATGAGAATTTTTAATTTAACTGCTTCGAGGTTTTGTTTTTAATAAGCTTGGGTTGCATGTATTTTAAAGGGACAGATGTGACCTGCTCTTAAAAAAAAAACCCACCCAACTCTAACTCCTGGCTTTCCTGAAAACCCACTCATTTTCCTTTGCAAACTCAAAGGAAACCAATCTCTTACTTCAGTTTTCTGGTAAATGTCACACAGTGATGAAAAAAGAACAAATAAGCTGGGCAGCTGTTTTACTGAATTCCTTTGCTAGCTATTCTGAGAGCCGTGTCAGGCTGTACGCAGCTGAAGGAGCGTGCACGGCTTGTTATGTAAGTGCCAGAGCGGGAACTAGACTAGGACAAGATTAAACTTGCACGCGGCTGAAAACTAGCTAAATTGTCACATAACATTTATATGCAGATCAGTGACTTTTCTCACGGCCAACGGTCCAACTGCTCTTCATGTGTGTTCGGGGGGGCGGGAGGAGTGATTTTTGCTGGCCGGAGCGTGCGGCCCAGGTCAGAGATCCTGCGAGTTCATCCTCCAGGGAAAGATCACGTATACAGTACAAGAGAGCTTTACCCAGCGCGCAGAAAGGTTTAACAGGCCGATCTGCTGAGCATCAAAAACGAGTTTCTTCACGTCTTAACCCTAACAGCTAGCGTGTTTTAAAAGCAGACCTATGTGGTATCCTTCACCCGAAGGAACCTTTATCAGCGAGGTCACTTGCCTCCAAGCTTCGCAACCACTGAAGGGCCACGCGCGAGCTGCAGCCCCTCGTGCAGCAGCAACCGACCACGAGGCAGGGGGGCCCGGCGGCCCC